AGTAATCATGTAGTTGTATCAAATTTGTTAAGTCAGTGACTGACGTGCAATTATGTTTGTTCTATATGTTTTACCTTCGAAAAAACCTCTGTGTGAATATACTGATTTAGGGGAGCTACGCATGATCGCAGCGGTTGTTGCCTCGCAGAAGAATAGACAGTACCATTTAGCTTAGAATCGGAAATGCAAGTGAAGTTTGGCCAAAGGAAGGCAACTTCAACTTGGGGTTAGTGGGTACAAATGGTACCTTAGCGTAGAGGATGCAAATAGCATCTGTAAGAAGACCTTTGAAGACTGGATCTAGCGAGCAAGACCTATTGAAGACAAAGGAAAGATGATGGTTTTGCTGAAAAGACAATATATCTCTCCCCTAGTACGGTAAAAGCATGCAGTCGTTGTAGTTGGCCAATTTCATGAACGGCTTTCTACAGTGACTATTAAGGCACTCCTGGATCCCCTATAATGCATGAGTAGTTCAACCCACCCCGGTTGGAGGTCACCCGTAGGTGCAAAATGCACTAGGTTAGGTTAAGTTAAGGGCATGATGGGTTACCTCCTTCAAGGGGCATTCCTTTTCAGGGCGGAATTCCGGTGTCATGCGCAGGCAGGAAGTTTAGATAGCTTAGGCATGCGCTGTAGTTGCGGCGGGTAGTTGCTACGCTCAGGTAACGAACGTGAGGTTTGTACCTTTCAAGGATGAACCTCACTATCAAGATAAATGAGTGAATTTTAAATGTTTGGAAGAAAACTTTCAATCTTTTCTCTCATTCCTAAATCGACAAATATATACTTAAAAAGTATTTAATTTGTTAAGACATTTACAGTATAGGGGCGGCGTGGCAGTTACTGTAAATGTGTAAAAGGATATGTTGTTTTCTTATGAAGAAAACTTCACTCCTGGGAATTTCGATGCGGCAAGCCACAGCGAAAGTGAGCATAAAAATAAATTAGTACACCAGGTCTAAGTATGCGGTATGCCTTCATAATAACCTAAAAGAAAACACGGTTTTAATTAAAGTACATTGTTTTGCTTTTTTTATAATGGTTACTATGAAGACAAACCGCAGACGTTGTCACATATTTAACTTAAAAGTTACACGAAGGTTTCCATGTTCACCAGTCGCGTTTCTATGAAAGTCATGTATGTGATAATTGTCAAAGTAAAACATAATTTAAATAAAGCGCAGCCGGTTGTTTGGTTAAACTATCACCACTTCTTTGATAACCAAACTTTTAACGTGTGCTTCTTCAAGTGGTTTCAAAAAACAATGAATTTCGTCTGATCGTAAAACTAACTTGAAGTATTACATAAACTAATCCATGTCATACAGCCAGCGCTTGCTCCAATTTTAGGCGTTAGTGGCACCGGGCGCGCAAAGCACTGAATTAAAAGGTGCAAAATAGGGGCGCTTAAGTGGCGCTAGGTGCGACTGACTTGGATGTGGATTGGATAAGAAAAACACACGTTTAATGAAATTCCCATCATTTACACAATTTTCTCGTTCAAAGTAGAAAATTGTCCGGTTCGGTGATCGATTTACGTGTAGTTAAACTGAAATATGGCAGCTTCGATTCGTTATTTGTACGTTAAAATATAATGGCGAAAATAAAAATCTTCAAAAAAAAACAAAAATACCTTAAAAAACTAACAAATTGTTAGGCTTGAAATGGTATGTGAAAATTTTGCGGTTTTTTTTGTTCTTGGCTTTTTGAATCGTTGCAAAGTAAGTAAAGTTTATTGTTTGTAAGGGCCCCTGGGATGCGGACTTCGGCTAAAATCCCTAGCGGTTTTTTCCTGTTCAGTATTCTCCAAGTTCTTACTACTTCGTGCTCGGTCTTGGTTTATACCGTTCAGGTTTTTCCATTAGGGATTTTATATTTCGGTTAGGTCTTCAAAAAAAACAATGTTCTTGGTGTGGGACTAAGCTTGTACTACGTTATCATATCCAACAATGTACCTAAGGCCCTGTTTACACCATACCGGATTGCTATCGTAGCAGGTTGAATATTCTTTGTATTAAAAGGCAGTGAAATTGTTCAACGTCAGAAACACAAGCAAATAGACTAAATCTATCAGCTTAATAAGTTTTCACTCCGAACAGTTAACCCTTTAATGCAAATGAAGATGTTGTGAGGAGTGAATCCGCTATAGTGTAAACGCAGCCGAAAGAAATACAATTTGAAGCTTATAAACACTTAGCTAAGCGAGCCTAAAATCTATCAGCTAAAATTTACAGCCATCTTCACTTTCGTTAAAAAACTAGCGTCATGTTTAAGCTATTCCGCTTTTTGAACAGCTTGCGTGATTTTAGTTACAGTATTTGGCATATTTGTTTTTAACACATAATGTAAATGTGAAAGTTTTATTTGCGTGTAGTCGGGGGCTCAAAGTTGGACATTTAAGCATTTTAACGTTGAACCGGCAGTATAGAAAGGCTGGTTATTTTTGTTTGTGACGTTAAATAGTGAAGTGTAGTGCGAAGAAAGCATCAATGTTTTGAACGACATTAAGAAGCTCTTCACCTGTTTTTTTACTACTCCGATTAAGAAATAACTTAGCAACTTTGAGCCTCATAACTCTACAAAGATCATTTTGGAACTATAAAACATCCATAATATGTTCATAGCCAAAATTTTCTGAACTATACGAGGAAAACAGCCTAGATCCGGTATTTTCAAAGAGTGGTACAATTTAGTCTTTGGGTTCGATTCTCAATGCACTGTTTTTTGTATAAAAATAAGTAACATCTTTAATCTTTTTTATGTTAAAGAATTGAACGTTGAATATCTACATTAGTATAATAGAGGAAAGCGTATTCAGGCAATATATATAAAATAATTTCATTTCAAAGATATAATTTTCTTGACAAATACACGTAGTCTGATTAGAAAACTAATATCTTCAAAATTCATTTACTCAGAAGAAGTCTTTAACAGAGTGAAAATTTGTATTCTTGGCAAATGTCTCATGAATTTCTTTCTTTACAAATCTGATGAAAGTGGCTTTAGTGTACGAAAAGAATTAAAACCTATATATTTTTTGTAAACATGAGATAAAAATATCAAAAAAAGCTTCATTAAATTTTTTGTTTTTCAAAGAATCTATAGATATGACTATTGATGCTTGCCTTCAATTTTTGATTATGTTCATAATACCCATTTACAGTCCTTCTTTGGATATATACAATCCAGGCTTAGAGCTTCATCTACCAAAGTCGTAATGTACTTCACGTGATGTAAGTAATGACTTCGCGTGACGTAAGTAATGACTTCACGTGATGTAAGTAATGACTTCACGTGATGTAAGTATTGACTTTGAAAACTTACGTATATCAATGCATACTTTAATATAAGTGCTTCCATAAGAAATATCTCCTGAAAATGCACGTCCTTCACCCTTTATTAATTTCTTTTTTTTAATTGAGTTTTGTCGCGTTTCTTTAGTGTCGTGTTAGCGTTAGTATTCGTACAAAGTATTCCATTGTGAACTGCAAATTTTCTTGTTTTAACATGAGCAATGTGAAAAATACATCAAATATTATCAGACAATATAAATCACATAATGTTTGATAATATGAATGTCATTATTTATTAATTTCAGAAAATCTGTACGTATACAACCAGTGGCGTAGCTAGGAAAAATAGTCACTCCCGCCAATCCATCTCGCTCCTCCGGCGCGACCCCACTAGGGGGTCCGGGGTCATGCTCCCCCGGAAAATTTTGAAATCCAGAGCCTTGGAAACAGCATTTCCTGCGATTTCAAGGGCGAATTATTTGTTGTACAATAATTTATAAAAACCCGTTTTTGTTAGCTGCATTCTTAATGTGGCAATCGTTGAAACTGCAACTAGTTAAAAAGGTACTAAAGGTGGCTCAGAGAAACGTTACGCAGGAGACAATTGTCCCCTAAAACATAATTTACTCATCACTTCCCCTGCATAAACAGAAGAAATTTGTATTAGCGCAAAAAATAATATAGTATACGACACTTCTAAAGTTTATAGAGAGAGATTTTCTTAGCATTCTACTTGTTAGTTTAAACTTGTTTAGATTGGGGCAAGTTGACAGGGATGGCTCTATTCCTTAAAGTTAAGCTTAATTTTCTCAATGAAGTACCATGTATTATACGAACAAATATCAAAACACATACTATACTCATCATTTATAAAGAAAGGCCAGCCTCCTGGTTTTTCTACAAATTTTCAACCACCTCGTTATGCAACACCTCTGATTCCTCTTTCTTTTCAATGATATCTTTGTGAATAGATATTCTACACAAAGAGCTAAGCCGACCTTGACCCATTCTATTTCTTAAATAGTTTTTACCCTTTTTAAGCAAGAAAACGACCTCTCTACTGAAGCACTTGCCACTGCCAACACACCATTCAATTTTAACAAATTTACCACTTGACCTAAACTCGACTGGAGATTAAATTTGAAGATGTATTTAAGAACCTCATTACTGCACTCTTTGTGAAAGTCCTTGTCGTTGTAAATGAAGGAAAGTTGACTCTCCAAAGTTTGGATGTCAAAAGATAGGACTATACTTATCTTTGAGAAGATTGATCTTCTCTTGTGGAACTATGCCCTTCCATGTAGTAAATAGTTTAGGATTTACAAGGTCTAAAAACTCGAACTGATTAATATCTTGAAATCGTTCACTTAACATGCCTTTAATGGAATCAATAATCTCAAAATAAAGCTGTTTGTAATTGTATCTACTATCTGCTCTGGTTGCTGGTGGGCCTACTTTTCTAGTGCAGTTTGGTAAAACTCGGTGAAAGCTTGATCTGTGCGAAGTGACACAATAAACTGCTTGAAATTGTCAATCTTGCTTATGCCATAGTTAAAATGGGTTTCCTATTTTGAAGAATGGAATACAAAATTGTGGACTGTTCTAAAATCCTGTAAAAAACACACACTAGAAAACAAAAGAGAAAGCTATCAAGATAATGCAGTAAGCCACTTATTTTACTTAATGACTCATCATCCCACCCAGCTGGTTGTTCAAGTACCCCTCAAAATATCTAAAAGTTTTCATAGTTTTTGTGCAATACATTGATTAATCTAGAGCGATAATACCATCTTGTTTCACCAGGGCAGGAAACTCAAGGTTGAATGTTATGAAGTGTGTGTTTGAATGAAGATTTCTTTATTGACATTTTGCAATCGTCTCAGGTCCTGATTTTTCAGGTCCTGAGACGATTTAAATGTCAATAAAAAGCTATCTTCATTAATTAAAGTTGTTAGATGAGAAAGCTTTTCTTTTTGGGGCATTGCTTGTAAATGTGCTGAATGTAGCTATATTAATAAAAAAGATTTTAACAGGAGAAATTGATGAGGCTGACTGACTCATTATGAGCTGCACAATGAACAAAATGAGCAAAAGGATACTCTTGTCGAACCAATGCTTGAACACCATTGATATGGCCAGACATGACAGAAGCACCATCATATGTTTGTAAAACCAGTTTTTCTTTTATATTAGAATACTCACCAAGTTTATCTTTGACAACTTGTGATATTGCTGTGGCATTTATGTTCATACTTACATCCACAAATCCTAATTGCCTCTCCATAATTTCACTTGCTTTGTCAAACCGAGCAATAACACTTAGCTGCTCTTTGGTGGAGACATCAGATGCTTCATCAACCTGAATACTCATAAATGTGCAATCATTTATTTCCTTTCTGATTTCATCTTCAATAATTGAATCAAGACAGCTGATAAGACCATTTTGAATTTCTGGGAGACTCCAGTAAATCTTCTGGCCACCACATTAATAAGATCTGCTAGTCTACTGTGCAGTCGACGCTCAAATACAGAATCAAACTTAGCAAAACATTCGAGCAACTCTCTATAATTACCTTTGTTCAAGCTACCTTCGGACTCATTGTGACCTCTAAATGGCAACTCTTGCTTTGACAAATACAGCACGGCCTCAGTAACAGTTTTAAAATTTCTCGATTTTGTCTTACCTCCTCATTGTGACGCTGAATCTCATTTCTTCTAGCGAGGGACATAAGACAATCAATTCGTTCACTAGCTCCATACGTTTTCCATGTCTTAAATGCAGTCAAATGCGATTTAGATTTTTCATGCTTCTTAGCATCAGACATAATACTCCGCATATCGTTGTTGCCATTCTTAGTCCACGATGGCGATGTTTTGGGAAAACATTAGACATGGCCAACAAAACACTTTCTGCAAGGCTGTACTGCCACACAGCCAGTCCTTCGCCTCATACCAATCTCTCTGAAATGCTCTTCCTTTATTTTGGATAGTTAAATCAGGAGTAGGCCGTTCATGAACGATAACATTCTGTTCGACCGACGATCGAGCAGAGAACGGTTTAGCTAATAAGCTATTTACTAAATCAACATCAGTTGAGCAAATCGCAGTCGCACTTGAAGCCATTGTATCATACACAAATACAAAATAGCAATTTGAGAGTAAACACAATGGAAAATGAATACCGACAATGACACGTAATTTGATAATCACTAATCGCTGTACTCGTATTAAAAGGTCGAATAATTACAACCTCCGCCAATTTAAAATAGCGGGAGTTCGACTATAAAAACAGCAGATTTGAGCATGCGTCAAGTCCCTTAGCCAAACAGAATTCAACACTTCTTATATAGAATTATATTGTATGTTCCGCCCTCTGAAGATGGGCGGAATACGTGGAAAATCGCGCGAGTATGCAATGTGCGAGAAAAGGCGGTTGCTAGGTTACATAACAAATCTTGAGATTTTGCTGTATTACGATTACGAACCACCTAATAAAAGCGTAAATATGAACAAATAAAACATAATATTACAAATTGTTCGTGAAATAATGTATATCTTATGTCCAAATAGAATATTTATTATTTTTTTGGGAAATTTCTACTCCGGCCGGGCGGGAGTAGCGGGACCGCTAGCTACGCCACTGATTTCTGTGAATCTTATTCCCGATTTGACAATTTTTTCAAAAATGCGTTTGAACATTATTTTAATTTTCAAAGTTCATGAGTAGTGAAACGTACTTGTCGTTATGTTTAGAATCTTTATTCTTACCATAGAATTCTGTTTATTTGGTTAGTCAAGCACTGAGCTGAGTTATCATTAATAAGTGAAATAAGTAATTATGTATCATAACTATGATAATTATTCAATCGTATTTTGTATTCATGAACATAACTTGAATCTAAGAATCGGGGTATGTCTCACCTAATGTGCTATGCATTAGTACGTGACCAGCTAAGAAATCTTTTAAATCGGAATGGCCACAAAAATTTGGAATTTTATTATTGCGTCCGAGCAGACTCATTAAAAATTTATATAAGTTTAAATGAGCTTCCTTTATAACGTTACGTACAACTATACTAACTATTCTAAACGTATAACTATAGTAAACATATAACTCTCAATTATTTTTGGTATTAAAGAGAGCCCCACTTGACGCATTTCACGTCATTATTGAATAAACGAATCTAAGTACAAGCTAAGAAACAATTTTGGCTGCTATTTCTTATTTTGGTTGAATATTAGGTTTGCATTTTTTCAGATTGGCCAAATTCTTGGTACAACATTAATATTGATTCAGGTGATAATACGTAACGATACGTCCTTTGGTAAAACTATTCTTAACGTCATCATTAATGAATCTACACTCATGTCGAGATCGGGGAAAGACAGTGTGTTGCTTCTAGGCGTGCAAAACCCACCCGTATTTCGTAAAGAAGGCGATAATTCCAAGCCTGTCAGTTTTTTAATCAGGGTAAAAAGTGCAGAAAATACCGAAGAACTTTTCACGAAAAGGAAGCCGTAGTAAATTTGTGCTGATTACATAAATATGTGGTTGATCATGTCATCAAGTTCAGTCGAGAAGTACTTGACAGAGTAGTGGTGATGATTTTGTCGATTCTTAATGGAGGGATGATTAGAAAAGAAATATTTGTAGCTACCTGGTAGCCACTTGGTGAAGTTTTCTAGAATACTAAGGGTTTTTAAAAGAGTGATAATATTTTACTGTAAGACTAAATGGCAACATCTCAAAAATGGAACCCTGAGTTGAACAAACAGAGCTTACAAAGTCTGGACGATCACGAATATGGAACTTTTGCTCACTTATATACTTCATATATATATATATATATTGCTGAACTCTTGAAAAGCTTTTGTAGCTCTGTTTTTATATACCTTTATTAAAACCTGTGGTAAATATCCATTCTTTCACACTGTGCTAGAGAATTTATTTTGTGACAGTTGTTGTGACTCGCGTTGCTGCTGAAAAAATTATTTATAACATTCAATGAAAACTTCTACATGATACACGTAATTTACATATAAAGGACGCTTTATGGTTGGTTGATAATAATCTATCATGAGATTAAGTTCACAATGATAGGGTGACATTATTACACAAATTACTACACTTTCCTTATTTCATTATAAAGACGTGGCTTGGCAAACACTTACATTACACTTATACATACGGCAATGTCATTTTGGCTACATAGAAAATGTTGAAAATGATCTATTTTAACTTTACTTTTTGTTATTGTAAATGTATTTACTAAGTTATCTTCGTTGGCAATTAATTAAGTTCATTGTTGCGCGCTACCTGCACTTTGCTTCTAATAAAATGATTTTTAATTTTTATGTGTTTAAACGTTGTTTTTTTTTTTGAAAAGCTTGGTTCTTCCTGATATTAATGCTCCCTGGTTGTGTGCTTTGATTTTCGCGCCACTGTTCTTTTCCACTATGCTTAAATCACTGCACCCAAGCTAAAGTTGTACACTCTGTTTTACATGCAGAAAGTAAAACCATTTGCTTTTTCCTATTCTTTGAGGATATCAGAGATCCTTCTTTTTGATATTTGAAAACCATTTCTAACACTACCCAATGTAAATGTTTACTCGTTATCTTCTTGTGAAATATTTGGTAAGTTGCCTTTGCTTGCAGAGTAACTTAAGCTCATTAAGCCGCGTTGTATTTCGCTTCTATTAAAATGATATTTGATTTCCATGTGTGTTTAGACCTTTTTGTGAAAAGTTGCGTCCTTTAAATTGCTAATTTTATCGGTCCCTTGTTTTTTTGCATTGATTTTTGAGCTTCTGTTTCCTTCCACTATGCCTAAATTGCAACATACTTGTTATAAAAATTTGCACTCTGCTTCACAAATAGAAAGTAAAGCCATTTAATTAGTTTCAACAAGGCTCCATCTACAAACATAAAGTATACGTAAGGGTCTGGGTGTGATTGCCTAAACCTTTCCACGGTCAAGTAATTATTTGATGTTTCATTCCAGTTTCAGCCGCTTTGTTTGAGACCACACAGGGGCTTACAAGGTATTTAATTTGTGAACAAACTTTTCTCCGTTCTTAATCCTATAATTTAAATAACCCTTAACTTGCTCAAAATAAACATCCCTGTCAACTAAATATGCCGATAGCAGTATAGATATCTTGACAGAAGTTCCACTCGTGTCGGAACCTTTAATGATCGTGTCCCTCACTTTTATGAAGCAATTTCTAAGAAGACACGCCTTCCAGAAAGATACTTCCACTAGATCGCAATACAAAATATAGATGTTTTTACAAATATATTGATTTGCACTAAAAAAGCTTGGAACCTTATCTTATTCGAAAGATGATAACTCTTTGTAAACATTGATAACTTATGGTAATCACCAAGACTAACTCGGTTGATCCGCCTCTAAATGAGAATTGGCTACGTTATTTAATCTATAACGTTAATCAACTGCACGTTTACTGGTAATAGCAGTTATGCTATGCTGGCTGGCTTGTTTTTGACTTTAGATGGGTAACTTCCTGTGTTCTCAACTTGATCGTAAACATTTTCCCTCCATTTTTTTAGTTTCTTGCTCTGAATTGCAACAGGTTTATAGTACAAAATGATGGACATAATTCATTATCCGTTTTAATTTTGTCAATGACAAATTTATCGACTCCATCAAAAATTTTACCTTACTCGCTCTATTTTCGTGGTTTCTTAGTGAT